GCCTTAAACAGACTTGCAGGCTGTAGTGGATTTTTCGATGTGGGAGAGCTCGCTTAGCTGACTCCTTTGTTGATGTTACTCATCCCATCTGGGTAGAAATGTCAAGTGGCAGGGGAATGGAAAAGCTGTCTAATTTTTTTGCACCATAGTTTTTTCAACCCAAGTAAAAATAAAAATGGGTGTAGGATCTGCTAGTATACTTACTATAAACGGGATAAATGATCATATGATTGCGTTTATAATTTGCATGTCTTATTGAGTTTTTATTATAGTCTTGATGATCACATCAGCAAGCTTTTATGTAAAGTCATGAATATGCTAAGTCCACCATGAAATAAGCAAAGTGCTTGCCTTTTGCTGCTGGTGCCTCTAATTTGCTGTAAAAGTTGACGCATCGTATCAGCGTCTGTTTGCCAGTAGGGATTTTACCAAGGGCAGCAATGCACCAAAGCTATACAGCATTTGAAGTGTTCACTTACTGCAAGCAGCATGAAGTCTACCTTGCAATGCTAGCGGATTAGCTCACGTTGCCTCGCTAACATATGCAATGACTGCCGGCGAGCTCTTCCCCATTAGGTTGGCACATCAAAGGCGGCGGGAGAAGTTCTTCACAGGCAGTTAAAAGTGGGCTCAGTGTGGATCTTGTAAATACCGTCTTTGAGTCTGTGCCTCTCGGGGGACACTTCACACACTCCTCCAGTCAGTAGAAGGGAGGGAGGGAAGGAGAGGAGCAGTGACTGGGGGGGACAGGGTGGGTATGGGCTAGGAGAGGGTGGAGGTGCGGGGGGGTTTCTGAGAGCCCACTCCCCTGTCACCATCGGGATCGGATCCGTGTGGATGAAGAAAATCACTCTCCTCTCCCTGTCTGCATCTTGCTCTCATCGTCTTCCTCCCCTTCACACTTCACATGATAGCTGACAGTGAAAGTAGAGCATAGCTGTTTTCCGTTTTCTTTTGAGTCATGTTTTTCATAACACATAAATAGAGCATGTGGCGTCCTGGGAATTCTGTGATTCTGTGTTTCAGTATACAGGCGGACACAATAGCATCCACTCTTCTCAAGTGTTGTTGAAAACATTTTATCCATCATAGCCGTTTGTAGGGCTCTGGTGAGGCCCTCAAGTCCACAAGGAGCAGAAAGGAATAAGAGATGTGTTTTATTACCAGCCACACGAACATACACACACACACACACACACACACACACACACACACACACACACACACACAGAGACACACATATACTGTATGCTCCCAAGCCCATCTTTGCCTGGTTTTGCAGACTGATCAATGCAAATGCTGTTATTTACCCAAGCCTGAAATGAAAAGACTATGGATCAATTTGATGCACTTCCATAGGGTGTTCTCACAATAGCTGGCTGGCTTTTTGTCTCAGCTACACCCCCCCTCCATTTTCTCCTTATCCATCCCCCCCCCATCTTGAACAAGACCCCCCCCCCCCCAAACCCCTTCAACATCACAAATGCAAACTATACTACCATGCTGCCTCTCACGTACACAAACCATCATCTATGCATTTTCTCTCTGCATGCTCTTTTTCGTTCAAACACACCCACAGTGTGACACCGGGGCTGCATCCGTCTGAGCTGTGTGTGTGTATGTGTATCTGGGTGTACATGTGTGTGTTTTGGGCTGACCCACTTTCTGTGCTTGCCCAGGCTTGTGCTGCTGCTGCTGCTGCTGCTGCTGTCTGCTGTGCTGTGCTGTTCTTTGCTGTGCTGCAAGGGGGAGATCCCTGCAGACTCCCCCAGAACAGACTCCAGCTCTCCTCCTGACAGACACTCACCGTGGCATGTTATCCCCCTGCGGATTGGAGACCTCTGCCTCTCTGTCAGTGCTTGTATGTGTGTGTGTGTGTGTGTGTGTGTGTGTGCGTTTCAGATACACCTTGATGCAGATGCATGAATGAATACTCACAAAATTGCATGCACAGGGTGCACAGGCTGTAACAACATCGTTGCCAACATGCACACACACACACACACACACACACACACACACACACACACACACACACACACACACACTCACGCACATATTCAAAGCACATACCATCCCAGATCTGTATATTTTTAATTCCATCCACCCTCCTCCGGCTCCTCCTCCTCTCTTCCCTGTGTTTGTCTGGAGTTATTGTTTCAATCTTGCTGCATCAGGGGGCCCCTGAAGGTTATAAATTAAACATAAATGCAAATGCGCTGAGCCATTGCCCTCCTCCACCTCCCTCCTCCCCGCACACACACCCATCCTCGCCATTCAAACAGATCAGTGTGTCTGCGAATTAATAGGAGAACAGTGGGCTTTTTTTAATGAGCGAGAGAGGGAAATTAGAGTTGCAAAGCCACAGCGCGGCACACCCAGAGCTGCAGCCGAGGCAACGGCTTGAAAAGCCGGGCGCCATCATAGAATATGCTAATGCCCGAGGTCCCCTCACTGTCAGCCTTAGTGATGCTCTAGATGAGATCAGAGCTGAGGCTTTGATCTGGGACGCTGATGGGAGCCAGAATCGTCATGTGCACAAAGTACAGAGAGCAGGAAGGGTGTGGATGAGGCTTGTTCTAATCAGAAAAGGTGCACATAACCAGTGATGATGACACTTAACACATAGAAATCCTTAATCATTTAAGGAGATATAGTTTTGCCTCTACTCAGATACACACATCAACAGCAGTCACTTTATGTCACCTATACATTTTCTCTCACACACTCACAGGGGATGTAAATGTGATGTCTTCTCAGGTTGTCCTATAGATAAACGGCCATCTGGTGTGGTGTTGCTATAGGATGGGCCTGAGCATACTGAATGGTGAACACCATGGAGACTTTGTAGTTGGAACATAACAATGTTATAGCTTTTATTCTCTGCCATATGGGCTCATAAAGACAAACGGTAGGGAAAGGTTTCTGGGGATGTCACTTGCTTTTATTTGTCTCCAAAGCAACGAGTGAGCTTTCATTTGGAAAAACTGTATTAAGCCTCTTGCTGTTATGTGAAAATATGAATTTGTGATTTGGGGGGAAAAAAATCACAAATTTATACTTTGACATTTTCTCCTTATTCAGTTCTGTCCTACTTGAATACCAAGTATGTTTCTGCTTATTTTTTAAATACATTTTCTTTTTCTAAAGCTCCAACTTGTACTAACACTGTATCTCCAGCAGGGGTCTTCCCATTGTCACGGACATGGCTTCATAGTGAATTATCCTCCACTATACACAAAGTATGCCAGAAGTATTAGGCAGAGTGAATTGTACCTCCTTATTTTGAACATGTGTGACCTAAAGCAACAGTTAGGTGTTAAAAAATGTGGTTATCGCTACCTCTGTAGTCATCAACATTACTGTAGCCCTCATTTCCTCTGCCACTGGCATCATCTTCCTCACATGTGTTCCCACCACCAGTCGTCATCATCATTATCATGGCTATCCTCAGCACAACTCTCATCCCCAAATCCTTCTCTTCCCCTCCAACCCCCCCCCCCCCTCCACCCCCTCTTTCATCCGCAGCTCCCTCTGTTGATCAAATGCATCTGATCTCATCAAAGCGGACCCTCTGCTCATTCAAGTCCCAACAGACACCCCGGCTTCTTTACTAAGCACTATTTTACATTCATGTTTGAATACCACTGATGGGAGAGCATATCTTGTAGACTTTGGTTTTGTGTGGTCCAACACTGCAGCCTGAGGTTGATCTTTTTTTTTTCCTTCTTTTTTCATTTCATTGTCATTATCACTTCAGACAAGTTTGTCTCTGACAAATAAATTGAAGGGAGGATATTAAAGAATGTAGCCTTTTAAGACCCTAATGAAGACTGGCTTTAATATTCATATTGCATTCCTATGGAGACTTACAGTGATTTCATACTAACCTAATTGTACTGAATGGCAATTTTTTATCTGCTATCACATTGAATAGTTCTGAGGAATATCATATAGTTTATAGTTGGAGATATTTCCTTGGTATCCAGCTTATTGCAGGACTGCTGTGCTTCTTTGTTGAAGGGGAACATTATGCCTTTTCAGTCTGAAAAGAAGTGGTTGGCAGTGGATGGCGTAGTGGATGAACTCTGTGCTTACAGATATTACAACATTATAGCTGCTATAAAGTGTGATTACATTCTTATTCCGATGGCAACATTATTGCGCACAGCTTGTGGTTGCGTGTCCAACTCCTGTCAGAGCTGCAGAGAACTGGCTTGAGCCGAGGGACAGAGATGGTGGGAAGAGGGAAAATCAGATCTGGATAATTGCGTAGAAACTCGCTCGCGCAAAGTTAACATCTTGTGGTGCGTTTATTTGAAGGATCTGTGCGCGGAGGAACAGCGTCCGTGCGTAATTTAGGAATCACAACATTTTTCCGGTTATTGGTTGTTTGAAAAATAAAATGCACCTTAAACTCAAGGGAAGGAGTCAGTCCTTGTCCGCCTGACACGCAGTTATTGAACGAAATCTCGATGTTATTCTGAAAATAAGGAAATGTGTGTCATGTCAAGATGCTGCCACGTCAGTATATCTTTTTTTATTGTAAAACCAGCCTGCAAATCATCGTAAAAAAAACAGAAACAAAATGCAGTGTGCGTTATGGCTCGCTACTCCAGTCCGGATTTTCCATGTGAGGCGCGCCGGAGCCCTGGAGGTGGATAAGCTGGTAGAGCCCGCTCTCTCTCATGCCATGCTGGGCCACAAGGGCTCCGGGAGACGCTGCTACATATTACCGAGAACCGGGATGGAGGAGAGGCGGAGGGGGGAAGAAAAAAAAGTTTCGTTTAAACCTGGCAGAGAAACTCTCAACATGAAGCCTCACTGACGCACCATTTCACGACAACAACAGCAACACCAGCGCTAGAACAAAGCTTGCTTTTCCACTGAATATATTTTTCACCACCCAGCTTGTGTTTTTCTTCCCCTCTTGTATCATTTTCTGTGTGCAAGGCTGGTCGGAGCTTGCTGTCACTGCGCGCTGAGATGTTGGAGTGACCATGGCTGCGCAAGTGGCATCGGCTCCGACCAGAACTAATAACAAAAATAAGAAATTATCCAGCGGTTTGGGTCCGGAGCTCAATTCGGGGAAATCCGGAGGAGGCGGAGGAGGAGGGACCGTACAGCGAACTGGACCGATGCTGGGTGCCGGAGATGGGACTCTGAATAATGTAGACCATCACCGCCGAAACGAGCTCAACATGGTCCATTCAACTTCCACGACTCACAACGCTCCGGACGGCCACGACAAGGATGGGAATAACCTTACGTCCGCCTCGGCGTCGACTAATTCAACCACTTCCTCGATGGAAACGGGTTTGATCGCGAACCACAAGCTGAAATGTGTGGGGAGCGGAGATTCCCCTCAGTCCCAACCGCTGCCTCAGCAGCAGCCGCCGCCGCAATTCGGCCAATTTGCGCCACATCAGCAGCGACAGATCCAAAGTAATAACACCGCCAATAACAACGGCCAGGGGCCTCGGGGGGACAGGGGTATGGATCACCAACACCACGGTGGCAAAGAGAACCTGTTGGGGGGGCACGGGGAGCCACAGCAGCAGCACATGCCAGGGAAAGGTGAGGGGGACCTCACCTGTAAACCCGCGGAGAGGATGACGAGTACCAGGTACGAACATTCTAACTTGGGGCCAACTACTAACAACTCAGAGTTTAATAACAACTATTATACTCCAAGGCCCTGTTATGAGCAACATGGCGGACAGCAGCAACAAAGCGGTGGGATGGGGATAACGCACTCCTCGGCGCATAACAGCATGGAGAACTCCCACGAAGCGGGGTTCCACAACAGCCAGTACAACCAATACCCGGCGTACCGGGCGGGCTACGGCGGCGGGGCCTACGGGATGATGGGCCCCTCTGGATGCCGGCAACCAGGGAACATGATGATGGGCAGCAACTCCTCAACAAGCCACGGCAAGTCTCCACTGGGAGCTGGTTCGGGTGGCTTTCAGAGGTTCCCGGGACAAACTCAGCAGCAACAGCATCCCTCAGGGGCCACCCCGACCCTCAACCAGCTGCTGACGTCCCCCAGCCCCATGATGCGGGGTTATGGCGGTGCCTATCAAGACTACAGTGGCCCCACGGCGCAGCAGCAAGCCGGTATGGGCCTGGGGAAAGATGTGGGGGCCCAGTACGGAGCAGCCTCGGCTCACGTCTGGGGAGGACAGCAGAGAAACCACCCTCACTCAATGAGCCCGGGAAACGGAGGGCCAGGCCTCGGCAGGACGCAGGTGAGTTTTGGGAACTTCAGTCAGGCGCATCAGTGAACTTGAGTTTCCCAGCGCTGATATGTCACTCATAATTATGGTGTTGTGTCTGTGTGTGTGTGCGCGCGCGTGTGTGTGTGTTGACAAAAACAGTCGCTGTACCTCGGACAACGTCCATTATGTGCTGAAGTTTGTACGTGAATTATTCGAAAAATAACGTGGGTTAATATTTTATCAAGCCATTTATATGCAGAAGAAAAGCCATTACAGGCTGGCTACATAATTCTGACTTGTGTAAACCTGTCAAATATTAGACCTACATGAGTTTTAGTTTGACAGAAAGAGACCTCGCATTTATTTATTAAAAAAGCAGCTTCATTGATAAGGCCATTTTAATTAGCTTAAAATAATTAAAAGGCTGCATCAGAGGGTGTGTTTCTATCACCACATTTCAGTAGTTGATATTTCAGTTGTGTGTTCTCCGTATTGTTTCATTTTTAGTTTTAGTGGACTAAAAAATAACATTCATGTTGGGCAGATTCACCTCTCTGCCGACGTGGTGTCAGACACGTTGCGAAACGCCCTGTTTAGAGGACGTGTTGTAGCCTATTCGAGGCGCTCGTCGAACAAAGTAAAATATTGCTATAGAAAATGCACATGAATACTCAAGAGAAACGCTAATGTACCATAATACTTCCAATCTCCTGACTTTTTTAAAAAATTTTTTTAACCGATTTGAAAAATCAAGCGGACACTGCGGCCGTGCAAAGTCGGCACGTCCCTCTCAGTGCGCTCCGTGTCGAGCCGGAGCGCTTCTGTGCGCCTCGTTTATTCCCATGCAGCTCTGCTCAGGATTTGAATAGTGGAGGTAAACTGGCTAAAAGCTCTCCGTACTCCTGGCTCACAGTTGACACCCAGTCTGCCATCTGATTGGCTCCCCGTGGCCCCGCTGGGCAGACTGCACTTCGGGAAAAAAGAGGAGCATTCTTGCAGGGATCTTTGGCCATGGCGCTGTTGTGATGCTGCATTCACGTCTTATGGGAATACTCCAGACTTGGAGGCCATCCAACGCAATAATTGAAGTTTTATGAAGGTTTAGGCTGCTCCTTATAATTATTCTCATAATTTTTCCTCACTGAACAGACATACAAAAACACTGCAGTGTCAGCTCTCAATGAAAAATAGATAATGTGTTTTAATGTAGAGTTAAATTAGAGATCTTAAATTACTTTTTATACAGTGAAGATAGTCCAGTTTTGTTTGTTCTGTTTGATACAAATTCAGAATGCACATATGATGTTAAAGCATTATGAAATTGTTTGTGCTCTAACATTTTGGAATATAAGGAAACACTTGTTCCTGCAGCTCCCTTATTCACAGTTAACCACAGTTTTACATAATAACCCCTGAAGCTGACTTTTACTGTTGGGCGCTGCAGCAGCTGGGGTTGAATGCCTTGCTGGAGGGCACTCAAGCTGCAACACTGGAGGAAAGGAAGCAAGTGTTACTAATTATTCAACTAGTCCTCCTTCTGTTTTGAGGGACTGCAATCAAGAGTTCCTGGGTGTTCCCGAACCCTGTGCTGAAATACTTCTCTAATTGTGTTGTCAATAGTGTGCAGTTCTGCAGCCAGGGGAGCGAGTTGCTGCCAGTTCAGAACTCTGGACCAAGACCCCACAGTGTTTCTCCATAAGAGCCGTCATTCTGCAGTTGTTTTTGACGCACTATATTATGCGCACTGCTGGATGGCACATCTGTACGACTGGAGGGCTAGGTGGTTGAGCATAGCTTATACTGTCTGCCTCTCACAAAACAAAAGCAGTTCATTAGCCTACATTGTTTCAATCAAAGGCAATTTGCGTTGTATGCTGGGAAAATGAAGTGAATGTTATGGCGTGGGAGGGTTTGCTGTGGTATTGATTGTAGCAAATTATGTGCTGATAAGATGGTCACCGGAAACCTACAGTAATCTCACTCCTTATTACAATAATTATTAGCGGTTGTGTGTATTTGGTATTAAATATACATATTTATTAAAGTCATTTTAATGAATCCTTCAGTCGGAGCGTACAGCTTATATGAGCCAAACTCATGTATTGTTAGTGCCAATAATTATTCCAACAAACCAGCCCCTAAAACAAATCTTACATTTAAGATTTTATGCTGCAAATCTTTGTGTTTTTTTTTCTTTTTTTTTTCTTTTTTCAGTTCTCCACTTTAGGAATAAGTGCATGTGCTACTGTGTTTTTTCTTGACTCGACCAACATTTCAGCAGCAGTATATTCACGCTACAAAAGCCCTATGTTTAATTCATATTTGGAGCAGCAGCACTGCTCTCCTGTGCACTGACAGGCTGTGTGAGAAAGGCGAGCGGTGTAGTGCATAATACTGCCTCCAAATTGGCCCCGTGATATGACTGCGCTTCACTTCAGAGTGCGTTTGGTCGGAGCACGCCTCTGTCACCTGTTGGCACAGTTTCCCCTCTTTCAAATTCAATTTCCCTCCCCACTGCCTCTCTTCAGGAGCAAGCTGTGAGCGAAACGAGTGCACCTCATTTACACTGCTGTCTCCCCCCCTCACGCTCACTTGTCTGGCCACTCACCAAAATGAAGACAGAGCCCCACCACTGTGTGTGTGTGTGTGTGTGTGTGTGTGTATGTTGTGTGTGTGTGCACACATCAGAGATACATGAGATATTTAGGTGTGTGTTGAATCTGCTCTCATCACAATGACATTGTCCTAGTTTTTCAAATTACCATGGCCTATTTGATTGAGGGAAAACAGAACAATATTCAGTGTTTAGTTTGTGACCTTCTGCGTGAATGTTTGTCTGCACTTCAGCTGCTTTAAATCCAGGCCATTCCTACTCAGCGTGTGTTTTTCTTCCTCACGTACAGCATCTACCTATGGCAATAATATAACAGCATATGTGCAATCCAAATGACTTATTTAAGTTTATTTCATAAATCAAACAGCATTTTCTGTCTCATCCTATATGTGTAACAAGGATCCGTCTGTTATCCACTAATCAGAACAAACACAACACACACACAGAACAATAAAAGTAATTAGTAGATAATAATGAGGGCCTAGCAAGTTGGAAATAGAGTGTTGTTGCTTAGATAATTACAGCAGCAACTCATTTAAAATCTGACCTAATAAAACAAAAATGAATGGATATCTACAGTACAGTTTCTACTAATTTATCACTATTATGCTCAGTGTTTTGCCTTTGTTTTCTTTAGAATCGGAATCAAAGCTCAGTAGTTCTACATATCAAAGACGAGACCCAATCCCATCCTTGGTAATGTGCTTACCTTGAAATGATCCCTGCTTCGCAGTGCTCTCCAGTGCATACTGTTTACATTTCTCTCTTATGAATTATTAGTGTGATACGAACAAAGACTTTATAATGGGAGCTATGCATCAATGTCACATTGTATTATGCGGCTATCTCAGGGAGCCTTGTGCATAGTGATGGGCCTGACTGTGGCTGCTGGAATTTAATTTATGGTGCATGTTCTGCATCGGACAGACAGCCCATGGGGTCTGGTCAGGAAATGGGCACGCAGGTGTGTGTGTGTGTTTGGGTGCTTCTCTTTATTCTGGGTGTGTGTTTAATATGTGTGCTCATGTGTGTCCTTGAGTGTGTGTCCCTTCTCTCTGTCTCTCTGTTTGTGTGTCTGTGTGTGTGTGAGTGTGTACACAGGCAGGAGCAGGCTAAGCCCCTTCGTCAGCACTAAGCAGTCCAACCTCAACCCCGCCCCTCTCACAATGTGCCTCTCTCTCGCCCACTCTCTGCCCCCTCCCGTCAGTCGTTTGTTTATGTTGTTTTGTTTACATCTCTGTCTTGGCCAGCCAGCACAGTGCTGATTAGCAACACTAGAGTGAAATTTCAATTTACTCTGTTGCGTCCGATAAGGACCCCGTGCAGCGTTTTTCATCTTCCTTGGATGAAACACAGAGCCTGCTTAGGTAATTGGCAGGCGCATGTTATCCCTGGTCTGCATGTGGTTTCCACAAGACGCCATTTAATTCTGATTTAAAAAAATAATAATAATGAAAATTTAACTGTCCAGTTACATCACTGGACATAAGCTCATGTATTATTAGCTGGCTAATAAGATAATTGTAGTTTTTCTGCCTGGCCCCACTGTGCACTCACAACATCCCCTGGAGTCAAAGGTTGATGTGTAAACGCCCTGAAGAAAGGATTTAATTACTGCATGCAGGCGTTGATTTGGTGTCAGCTGTTTCTTAGCTCTGTCTTATCCAAAGTGTCGGTGTCAGGAGTTAGCAGAAAAATCAAAACCAAAGCAATTTTGGGGGAAGAAAGTTAATTGTTCATTTGGGAGAATTTGACTTTTCCATGTGGCTGAGGTAGTGCAAAGCCTTTTGGGTTTGATTTGATTGTCATTTCAATTTCATTTCTCAACCTTATTTAGTCTATGTCAGCAGAGGTGGATTCTACTGAGGATGACCATTTATGAAAACTAGAGCCATCCTCTGGCATTCTGAGATTTGTGGGATTTATCTCAGGTTTTATTGGATCAGATGCAGATATAGATGAGCTATAGATACAGCACCTAACAACTACTGCCAATAGTTTCTTTCTTTTACAGCCATGAGTCCATCAAAAACAAAGAAAACTTTAAAAAACGTCACAGCAAACAAATTGCAAATTACTGTTCCCTCCCTCCTGTATCAGCCGAGTTAAACTGAATAAACATGCTTCTCTGATTTTGTTCACAGTTACACATAACAGCAAAAATGAAGTCTTCAATAATTTAACAGTGCTGGGCATATTGATATTGTTCTAAACTGCCAGCTTATACTGACTGTATTTCATGTAGCCTGAACACTAAAACAAAGAAAAGCTCTTGTCAGTATTACAACAATCATGTAAATCACAAATTTAACGTGGATGCAAAGCTTTATATCGCAGCAGATCTTTTGCTTTTGTCATTATTTATTCAACAAATGCACTTCCACTAATATTTATGTATTACAACATTTTTAAAAAA